TGTTTCCTCTCTGAATCCTAGAGCTGTCTATTCATGGTTACTGTGGTAGCCAGTTCTGAAACTCAGAGCATCATAGATATTTGGGGGGAGGGGGGGGTCTTCCAGCTGGGATAAATTTCCTTTCAGAACATTTTCACCGACCTTAGGTATGCAGCTCCTCTAGCTAAACTTTCAGTTGCACATGTTGCTGTGAGTTCATATCCGTTTCAAGGGGAGAACATGCTGTGCTGCAGTAGGTAATAGGGCCTCTGAACTGACTCCATCTGTGAGCAATGTACGTGCTAATTTTCCCCCATCTCTGTACAGAATAAATTTTGTTCTATGCACTAAGGCATGTGTGGATGTGCACCACCCATAGAAACACATGCTGCTTACTGTGGGTGTTCTGCTAATCAGCTGGGTGACACTGGAATCTCTCCTGGGTGGCTGTCCAAGTGTACAGTTTAGAGGGGACACTTCTTGTGAGCTCAGCTGGGAAAAATGAGGGAAAGTTCACCAAGTATCACAATAACCTGTAACAACAAATGATGGGGAAAGGTGCAAAAGGTAAACAGCTGAAACGAGTCAACGAAAGAAGGGCTGCCTACTATAACTCAAGGACTGTGTCATGATCGTGCCTGCTAAATAAGAAAAGCATAGGGCTGGAAATCAGTGATCCAAGATTGGTGTGTAAGAAATTAGGTGGACAAAGCAATGAGAGGATGGACTATTCCACCTTTTGCCCCATTTTGGCATCCATCCACTAGGAGAAAAGGGCCTAGATGCTGGTGGACTGAAAGATAGTAAAGCTCCCTCCTTCCTGTTCTATCATGGCTGCTGCCCGAGCCGTCTCCTGAGACCCAGGCTTCCACCGAGACATCAGTGGGCGTGTGTTGACTCAGATGTCCTGGCCAGAAAGAGGAGTCCAGATTACTTCCTACCTTATTTATTTTCTACGTTGCCTGTATATTTTGCAATCTTGCTGTGGATCTGTGACCAGAAAGAGGCAGCTAAAAGCAATGTCCTAAACAGACCCATCACAGGAGAAATTTGCAACAAAGCTAATGAGACCATGTACTGTGCCTGATTTTCTCCCCAAGTGAGGTTGCAAGTGAAAGTCAAAAGTAAAGACAGAAGCTGCACTTAAGACTGTGACCTCCCATCAACCCTGAAATGGGCTTGGTTACAAGCTTCCTTTTGATCAAGCTTTGGAAGGGCTAGAAGGGGACTTGGTGGAATAATGCACGTGATTGGAATACTGGTATAGGAGGGTACAGCTGCTCAGGAAGGATAGGCAGGGGAAAAGGGAGGAGGTGTGTTGCCATATATATTAAAAATTGGAATTGAGGCTGAGGAGGACATAGGAAACAGACTTGTTGAGTCTCTGGGTTAGGTTAAAAGGGGCAAAACCCAAGGGTGATGTCATGGTAGGGGCAAGGGTCAACTGCAGCCCACCTCACCAGGCAGAAGTGGATGAGGCTTTTTTTTTTTAAACTACCAAAATCATCCAAAGCACAGGATTTGGTTGTGTTAGGGGACTTCCACTATCCAGACACCTGTTGGGAAAATAACAGCAGGGCACCGATTATCCAACAAGTCCTTGGACTGCATTAGAGACAATTTTTTATTCCAGAAGGGTTGAGAAAGCTACTGGAGAGAAGCTGTTCTAGATTTGATTTTTAACAAATAGGGAGGGAGTGGTGGGGAATTTGAAAGTGGAAGGCAGCTTGGCTGAAAGTGACCATGAAATCACAGAGTTCACAATTTTAAGGAATGGTAGGAGAGCGGACAGCAAAATAAAGACAATGGATTTCAGGAAGGCAGACTTTAGTAAACTCAGAGAGCTGGTAGGTAAGGTTCTCACAGGAAGCAAGACTAAGAGGAAAAATAATTGAAGACAGTTGCAGTTTTTCCAAAGGGGCATTATTAAGGGCCCAAGAGCAAACTATTCCTCTGCAAAGGAAAGATAGAAAATGTGGCCAAGACCACCTTGGCTTATCCAGGAGATCTAAAATGTTGTACTTGTGTTTATTTACTAGCACTTCACGTTCTTGCAGAGATCTTATCCTACCTCTGGCATCCATTTGCATCTCTTGTCCTAGTACGCATGCACTTATCTGACGTGGTTAAAGCTGTGTCACCTGCCCATAGGCTGCAGAGCAACAGCAGAGGCTCTCACCTGGCTTTCCAGTCAGGAGGCATAATAAATTCATGTCTTGCTAAACACTTGCCTGGAAGAACCAGGCCCATGGTTTCTCCTAAGTTCTCCATCCTGAAGAGCCCTGCTCACAAGACATACTGGCTACGTCTAGACTGGCATGATTTTCCACAAATGCTTTTAACGGAAAAATTTTCCCTTAAAAGCATTTGTGGAAAAGAGCATCTAGATTGGCACGGACACTTTTCCGCAAAAGCACTTTTGGCAGAAAAGTGTCCGTGCCAATCTAGACGCGCTTTTGCGCAAAAAAGCCCCGATCGCCATTTTCGCAATTGGGGCTTTTTTGCGCAAAAAAAATCTGAGCTGTCTACACTGGCCCTTTTGCGCAAAAGCTTTGCGCAAAAAGACTTTTGCCTGAATGGGAGCAGCATGGTATTTCCGCAAGAAGCACTGATTTCTTACATGAGATCGTCAGTGTTCTTGCGGAAATTCAAGCGGCCAGTGTAGACCGCTGGCAAGTTTTTCCGCAAAAGTAGCTGCTTTTGCAGAAAAACTTGCCAGTCTAGACACAGCCCCTGGGTTCAGTGCTAGTTTGGTGGGCTCTGATTTAAATGTCTCAAATCACCCTTAGTTCTTACGTGATGGTCCCCCCCATCATGTTCAAAATGGGGCTACTGAGAATTCTGAGCTGAGTCTACTAGCATCCCATTTGCACTAGTCAGTCTGCTAAATACTGCACCAGACTCCTGGATCTTCTCGGACATAGACTCTAATGGCTTAGCCCAACAAGCCCTCCCCAGGAGGTGGACTAGATTAGCTGGCCAGGGAAGGTTTTGAAGCAAAGTGTTGATGCAACGTTTTCCGCCTTGCCACCTCAGTCACTAACTGCCCTTTTGTGTTTATCCCTAATCTGCAGTCAACTGCCTGGCCATGCTGCTCTGGTGCTCCATCATCTGCTTGTAATCCGCCTTCAAACAAGCTTGACTGGTCTTGCACACAAATACATCCCCACGATTTTGCTGCTTTTCCATTTTTTCTGTCCAGGGCAGAGAAAGTGGAGTCCCACATTGTAGAGGGGAACACTTAGGGGCCTGCCTACACTAGGAAATTATTTTGAAATAACTCTCAAACTAATAAAATCAAAATAGCGTGTACCCACTACGGGGAGCCTCAAAATTAGTCCAAGGCAGGCTCCATTATTGTCGATGCGCTACCTTGACTTAGAACCCCAGGAAGCACTGGGGAGTAATTACTTTGAATGATGCTGAGGAGGGATTATTTTGAAATAGCAGCAGGGGCGCGTCCACACTAGCGCTATTTTGAAACTACTATTTAAAAATCAGCGTTATTCCCCGCGGAAAGCAAGAGCGTAGACTTCAAATAACCAGCCTGTTCTTTCGAAAGAACGGGCTTGACAGGTTGTGAGGGTATTATGATGTATCTCTGCCATTTGTATTATCTAGGAGATGCTAGGCCAAGGAATGTTGCTCTCAGGGCTAGGGGTGGGGCTAGCCGGGCAGCTGCCCGGGGTGCCAATCTATGGGGGGCGCCTGATGGCAGCTGTAAGGGGCGCCGTGCACCCAGGGCCGGGGACTGTGCAGTGCTCCTTAGAGCTGCAATCAGGTGCCGCACGCCCGATTGCAGCTGTAAGGTGCGCAGCGCACCGGAGTTGGGGCCACGCATGCACTGTGCGCCCGGGGGCGCAGGAATGGCTCGAGCCAGCCCTAGTTGGCAGTCATTCAGACATTTTGGTTCCAGGTCTCCCAGGGATCACAACATCAGCACAATGCTGTGTAGATTTTAGACTCACACCTGGGTTTGATAGACAGGCCACAGGGAGACAGGCCACAGGGAGGGGATACTTACGTTCCAGCCAAGGCCAAACACACAGTGGCTGGGTGTTAAATGCATTCTCTTGGCACAGAGCCTTGCATTTAGGGCTGAGTTGCTATAGTCCCTCCGAGTCATAATGTCAAAGATTACTCATCATTGACATACAGGAGCAGGGAATTAGCCTCCACATTTAGATTCCCCCTGCAGCATCTCTCTGAACAGCAAACCGGTCTTATCACTACTAAGAGTTTGTTTCCAGTGCTTAGTCCAGCCTGTACCTACTCCCGCCATCTGGACGTCAGAAGGAGAACATGGACAGCACTGGGGGTGAATGAGGGGAGAAATGCAGTTCAGTAAGACGCTGGCTGCATTACTCATCTCACGAGGCCCACGCGGGAATTAAACTGTCGCACCAGGGACCCGCCGAGTCACTCTGATCCTATTGTTGTTTGTGGAGCAATGATGGCTCCGGGGCCCAGCTGAGAATCAGGGATGTTTCTGACTAGGATGTAGCTGGGCAGACACATTCTCCTCTGATTCATCTATTTATAGCAGGCAGCAGAGACAGAATTGTCTTGCTTCGTACGGCAGGGCTCGGAGAACGCAGCGCGTAGGCACACTTAACTGTTTCAGCTAAGTCCCTCCGCAACATGCCTGCTCCTCTGCAGTTTACAGAGCATGACGTGGCTTCCAGAGCGAGAACACACCGGAGGCAGCCATGGAGCCTGGCTAAAGGGACAAACTGGGGTAAGAGTCTGTCTGACGAGCGGCAAGAAATTTGCCGTACTGTCCCTTGCCTCTTTGCCGAAGTTGGCAACTAAGGTACCAGTGAGTGCCTATTGCAATATGGATAACTGGCCACTAGGCCCCAGCTGAAAACCTTTATACGGCGTTTTTGTCATTCCAAACTATTAATAAGGGTGGCCTGAGTTCTGAACGCTCAACTCCCCTCTCTCTTTAAAACAGCTGCATAGATCAATGAGTTTGAGTTCTACAAGCAGATTTGGGAACAATACTTACTTTTTTTTTTAAAGAATTGCTCTGATTAGGCATGTAAATCAAGGGGGAAAATCCCAATAACCCAGAGGCCAGTTAAAGTGTCACTTAGGCTATGTCAACACTGCACAGTTATTTCGGAATAAGATATTCCGTAACAGTTATTCCAAAATAGCACGTCTACACTGCAGGGAAGGCTCAAAATTAGTCTGAGGCAGGCTTCCCTAACGCAGATGTTCTATCTCTATTTAGAGCCCCAGGAGGAGTAACTTAGATTGGCCCTAGTGAGGGGCTATTTCGAAATAGAAGTGAAGCATCTATACCCACCTTATTTCAAAAACTATTTTGGAATAGACGTTATTCTTCGTAGAATGAGGTTTATAGAAGTTGGAATAAGCCGTCCATTATTTTGAAATTATTTTGAAATAACAGAATTGTTGTGTAGACATTCACATTATTTCAGATTAACAGCTGTTATTCCAAAATAACCTTGCAGTGTAGATACACCTTAGTGGGCAACTGAACAGCTCCTGGCGGTAGGTCTCTGACCCAAAGCAGGAAAAAGGGAAGTATTAAAACCACGTCATCTTCCCAGGAACTTCTGGCTGTTTGTCATTTGACTAAGAGGAATAGCAGCTATTTTGACAGAGCAAACAAACACACACAGGAAATAGGATTTCTAAAGCCATTTGTGATGGGGTGGACCAGGCCTGAGACTCCACTGCTGGAGGCCTTGTGGTCCTGCCACACCCTGCCCAGAAAGACTACAGAGAAGTCCTCCTAGGAGGCTAGAATGGCTGCAGGGGAATAGGCCAATCAGGGGCCAGGAAGGTCTATAAAAGACACTAAGGAACATAGCACCAGGCAGTGTCTTTGGTGCCTTCAAGGTACACAGACCAGGAGACTGGCAGATAGACGCAGCACTACCACCACTACCAGCTCACTGGGGACTAATGAACTATGTTGGGACTGTGAGGGAAAGTCCTGAGGCAAGGGTGAGTACGCTACCTCCAGGAAGGGAAGCCCTGGGGGTACTACTCTTCAGGGTGAGGGAACCGACTGAGGGACACTAGCAGAGGGCATCAGGATGGGCCTGTTAGAGGTGTACCCAGAAGGGGTTTGTGACTCACACGGTGTACCTTGTCTGGAGGGCTGAGTTGCCAAAGAGGTTTCAGTAGAGACAATGCAGGTGCATGCATTCGGCCACAAGGCGCTCACGAGAGGGGAGTGCCACCCCATTATGTCACTGTAAAGGTCAAATTCTACTCACATTTATGCAACGACTTGGCAATTAGTGGGGCTACGTGAGCTTAACAGAACAGAATGTAGCTGCCCCAGGGGTATAGAACCTGGCTGCAGAGGGTATAATGGCCGCCCTCGGCTGACACACCGGAGACAGAACTGGGCATTTCCAGAGCTCAAAGCCTGAGCCGCCACGACCACGTGTGCGAAAGACTCAGGGCGTTTTAGCTGGTGGCTGTAACCACTCACATCCTCTGGGGGTTGGCAGAAAGGGGGCTCTGGGCAGGATGCAGATGTGCTTGTGCTTTGGGAATGGGAAGACCCCAGTGGCATCGCTGCTGGCTCCAGAAGTTCTGAATAGCACTGGCAGAACTGTGCTGGTCCCAAGGGGCATGTCCTGGTACAGCCTGCTCTAAAAATCAATCAATCCAAGAGCAATGCCAGGGCTTCACAGCAAGCCAGTGCCCGCTGACCAATTCAAAGCAGGCACCTGGGGAGTGACTGGCCCGTAACTCCCCGAGAACACACTCCCAGGGACTGGTTGTGAAGGCCAAGACTAACAGGATTCAAAGGGACCCCTCTGCCATGAATTTATCTATCAATTGCTATTAGCCAGGCTGGGCAGGGATACAAACCGGGCCCTGAAACGTCCCGAGCCTCTGTTTGCATTAAACTGGGAATGGGGGACGGGCTGGATCACTTGATTCCCTCTTCTGTTCGTTTCCTCTGGTCACTGTGGGAAGACAAGACACTGGGCTAGATGGACCTTTGGGCTGACCCAGTCTGGCTGTGCTTATGTTCAGCTGCTCCCTAGCAGGGTGTTTTGGAACACACCTTGCTGTATTATTGCTGAGGGCCAGTAGCACTGTTAAGGGGATACTTCCATGGGGATGGCCCAGAAGAGAGGGAAGGATGGTTTACAAGCGCCAGGGTTAGCACTGTGTGCTGTAGTCAAACTGCTGACTTTTCCCATCTCCCCTCCATGCTTCCTTCCAAACAAGATACCAGAGTGCTCACACCAGCCAAGAGTGACAGCTACGCACTTGCTGCAGAAGTACGTCCTACTCGGACCCCAGGAGTCTCTCTGCTCAGTACGACTCACTGCTGTTCCTTCGCCCTAGCTGCTGCCTCCCACAAGCATTTCATCGGGAGCTGGGGGATGCCAGGTTGGACGGATCCATGGGAAGAACCCAGCTGCTGGTAACGTTTGGCAGCTGCTCAGTGTAAAATAGCTGCTGCCTCTTTCCTTTGCCAGAGATTTATCAATGCTGCATTCAACACAACTGCACACTGTGGTCAGGGGACAGATGAATCTGCTCCGAGTGTCTATTTTACTATAAACTCTCCCCCACTCCTAGCCACCCACCCACGGTCCCCAGGTGGGTCAGGCTCCCAGAAATCTACCAAGCTCTTTGCCTCTCACCTGTAAAGTTCTGTTTCAGTTTCCACTTGGGGCTCTGGCTGGTCGGTTGCTGATGGACCCCAAGTGTCTCAAGGACCAGAACGCTTTTTTGGGGCTAATAATGCCGGCTCCGGCTGGGGATTTGCAGCAGGTGGCACGATCCAAGAGAACAGACAGACGCCGTTTCAAAGAAGCACCATTAGCAAAAGGACTTATAAAGAGATTCCTTTGTATTAGAGACCAGTCAAAACAGTCCAGGGCAACAGCCCGGGCCAGTGTAACTACTGGTGTTTCATAGTTCTGCAAACACCTGCCCCTCCCCTGCCCCAAGAAGTAAAAAAAAAATAAAAATAAAAATAAAAAAATCCATCTCGAACAGGGAAGTGGGAAATAATAAAAGGGGGGGGGGGAGAAATCAATAAGCTCCCTCTTCCCCCTCGAGAGAAGCAGCAGGATGTGGCCCTGTCGGGGGGTCAGAGAGCACTTCTTCTGCACCGAGGACACAAACACGATGCACATTTGGAAGCGGCCTGCGTGGGGGCTGGCTACTTGCTCCTCTGCGCTGCCAGGCTCTCCGCCTTCGCAAGTTCAGACTGGATCCACATCTCGAGGAATTTCCTGCAACTCCTCCCCCCACCCGCCGTAACGCTCCGCTCTCCTCCCAGGCGCCCTGCACAGCTGGCATCCTCAGTAGTAATCATCCTTCTTGCCCGGGATGTCCTTGTGCTCCTGCACTAGCTCCAGGTCATCATTATCGTCCACCTCCCCTCCATGATCCTCCTGTTTGCAGGGAGAAAGGAGAGACAGGGAAATCAACACTGAACAGGAAGCAAGAGCCAAGCACAAGCAAGGGATCTCCAGTTAATGTGGGCTGGGAGCCAGGAGATTCCTAACCCTGCCACAGCCTTCCGTGGTGACCTTGGGCAAGTCACTGAAAGGCTCTGCCCCTCCATTCTCCAGCCGTTAAATGGGGATGACCATCCTTCCTCCTTCTCACCTGGTGTCTTGGCAAGTCAGCTTGCATGTCAGCTCCCTGGGGCAAGGACCATGCCTTAGGCCTGGGTTACGCTAGAAAACTAGGTTGGTTTAATGACATTGGTCAGGGATGTGAAATATCCACCTCCATGACTGGTGGTGGTAAGCCAAACTAAGTTCCCATGTAGACAGCGCTACCTCTTGGTGGTGAGGTGGATTTCCTATCCCGATGGAAGAACCCCTCCACTCCTGCCAGCATAGGTAGTGTCCATGCTAAAGCACGATTGTGGTGCAGCTGCAGGCAGCATTTTAAGTGGAGGCAAGCCCTTAGTGTGTGTTTGGCCATGTCTAGATGAACGAGAAGATCGATGTTGCGGCAGTCAATCTGGCATTCGATTTAGTGGGTCTAGTAAAGACCCGCTATATCGAATGCAGAGGATATCCCCGTCGACACCAGTACTCCTCGATTTGCGAGGAGTAAGGGAAGTTGATGGGAGACTTCCCGCTGGGAAGCTGGTGCAAAATATCAAATTAAGGACCAATTAACATAGCTGGAGTTGCATATCTTAATTCGAACTTCCTGGTAAATACAGACATGGCTTTTGTGCAGGGTCTAGCTCCCTGGGGCCCTGATCTCAGGGCATGTCAACATGAATCAATACTTTGGACTCTGGGGAATGCCAGGGACGTTAATTAGCCGTTTAGCTGTAATTCACAGCCAGTTAACATCCTCCCTTAACCGTGTGTATCAGAGCAGATGCGAACTGACTCAAGTTCTCCTATTTTTCAAGGACTACTTTGGATGATTTCAGTTCACACAGGTGGTGTATACAAGATGGTATATTCTGGGAGTCGGGGAAAGGGTGCGAGCCAGGCATACTCCCAGGGTGTTGATTGACTGTGATGTACAGTTAATTGGCCAATGAGCACCCTGCCTTTCAATGCCTTTACGTGGCATCTTTAAGTGCCATCTATAATTCAAAGGCATACCCCTCCAGGCGTAGAGGAAATGTATCCCCCTTTAAGGGTGCAAGCCACATAAAACAATTTGCAACGCCTGCCACCACAAGGTCCTCCCTCTCAGGTAGGCACAAGCATTTGAATTTGCTGGTGGGTCTTCCTGAGATGCCAGACACCCGCTGGTTGGTTCACAGCCATCTATGGCATGGATGCGCAGCCACCACTGCAGCCTACAAGCAAACAGGGGTAACTGACTCAGGGGCACCTGAACTACTCCGAGATCGGCATTCAAAATTCACAGAGATGTTCCCAGGGCCTCTTGAGCTCAGCAACCTTTGGGCTGGCCCCTGAGGCCCCGGAAGCCCAGGGTTCCCAGAGCCAGCTGTGTTGGAGCTATTGGCCTGCGGGAGCACCGTGTTCTGCCCTGCAAAGCGCACCAGCCTGTGGGCTCAGATCGGTACTGAACAGGAGGCAGGTTGGGGAGAGACAGGCACAGCTTGACACTGTCTCAGTAAGACACCAAAGCTGGCCCCGACATGCAGTTAAAAGCCTTTTGCTGAGGCCTGAGGTGCCTTGCTTCTTTGCGAGGCCCTGGGACAGCCCCTGCCAGCAGCCCACACAGGGAACAAGCAAGACTGGCTTCCTCCCCTGGGAACCAAGGGTGGGCCAAGATGGATTTTTATTGCCAACAAGGCTCACCAGCAGCCTGGTCTTGCTTCACCTGTTCTCTCTCTCTCCTTGCCAGTTTCTAGGAGACAGGCCACCTGCGGGCTCTGCTGTCACCTGCTCCCCACCCCCTCCAGCTTCACTGACTCAGCCGGCCCAGTTTACTCTCGGGCCCAGTTCCCAGCAAGCAAATTCAGCCGTTAAACTAGCCAAATGTGCTTCCAGGCCTCTCCCAAGTCTCAGATCCCTGCCCGCGCAGGCCAGACGGCAGGAGGCCGCTCAAATCGGGTACAAAGCCCAGCTCAGGCTCACGGGCTGTGGAAAGGTTCCACTCCAGATCTGCTGCCTAGAGGCGACTGGGACGGACTTCCAGGAAACACGCGAACTCAGGGACTTCCAAAGCTCTCTGTGGGGCCAACACCTTCACAGAGATCCTGTTGGGGACTCTTCCCCTGCCATTTCCTGCCCCCCATTCACCATCACAGAACATCCCCGTGGCAACGACAGCACCCGCTTACGTGGAAAAATAACCCACTGTAATGCAAGTCAGTGGCTGGAATCGAAGACAAGGAATCGGCATTGGGAGGACTCCCATGACTAGCAGCTCCATGGACCATGTGGTGTGGGAAGCACCATTTCTGAGTTCCAAAGCTCCATCCTCACCAAACACTGAGGCTACGTCTACACTGCCTTTTCTTGCGCAAAAAGACATGCAAATGAGGCAGAGCGTGGAATATAGCCACGCCTCATTTGCATAATTAATGAGGTCCATAAAAGGCTATTAGCCAGGGGATAAAATGGTGTCCTTGGCCTCGGTCTGTCAGAGGCTGGAGAGGGATGGCAGGAGACAAATCGCTTGATCATTGTCTTTGGTCCACCCTCTCTGGGGCACCTGGTGCTGGCCACTGTCGGTAGACAGGATACTGGGCTAGAAGGACCTTTGGTCTGACCCAGTACGGCTGTTCTTATGTTCTTATGAGGCTCTGTTTTTTGCGCAAGAGGCTTTTGTGCAAGAGCCGTTCTTTGTGAAAAAAGTGGAAGAAGAGCTCTTGCACAAGAGGAGGTTTTTGCGCAAAAGCCTCTTGTGCAAAAACAGAGCCTCATCAATTATGCAAATGAGGCACCGTGATATTCCAGGCTTTGCCTCATTTGCATATTTTTTGTGCAAGAGAGCGCAATGTGACGTAGCCTGACCTAGTGTCATTGCAGACCCGCCCATGGGGCTAGAGATTGCGACGGCAAACACTAACCACAAAGGGAGTAAGTTCCCGGCGAACGAACAGCCAGGTTTTTAGAGGACGGAGGGGAGTTCTCCTAAGAGCCCAAGGACCCCGAGAGAGAGGCAGGCTTCACACCACACAAGCCCACAGGAAAAGCTTCCTAAAGCCGTGCGGTCCATTACAACGGGCAGGCGTAGAAAGGAGGCCAGGACCTAGTGCCGTCCTTTGGATTTATGGGGCCCTGCTCAGTGCTATTCAACTGGTGCCCAACCACTCATTTTGGTTCAGTCTTTCAGCATTTGCTCAGTTATGTCAATTTTGAGGCCTGTACTTGATTTGGTGATTGTCTGTTTTCTGTTTGGTTTATGAGAAGCAATCCCATTCCAGGCACATCCCATTGTCCTGGCACAACCAAACCCTGCCCTTGCTTTATGTTATAAGAGGAAGCTGCGTACTGAATTTGGTGACCCTAGCTCTTAGTTTAGGAGGAGTTCTTATCAGACAGACAGACAGACAAACTTTCTAAAATATATAGTAGATCGTTATATGCATTACCGCAGAAAGAACCACCAAACACTTATTTTTAAAAGTCTCAAATAAAAATAACCTCTCACTTTTCCATTCCTGGCTCTGCCGCTGGGCTAAAGGGCAAGCAAGTCACTTCTCCTCCAAGTGCCTCAGTTTCCCCTTCTGTAAAATGAAGCTAACGATATTGACCCCCTTGCAAGGCTCTTTGAGAGCTATAAAAGCAAAGGGATGGTGCTGCTGTTATTTGCGGAGGCTCAACTCCTGATTTTCCTGAATGGTTGAGATTGGCCACATGGCAGCTAATGGCACAAATGGAGGAATGTCAATGCGATTCTTCCGATTCCTTTAGTCTGAATATCCCAGTGTATCCATGGGAAGAGAAGGGAAGGAATGAGCTAAATGAAACAAATACAAACAAACTCTCCATGGCGGGGACATGCGCAAGAGAGATGACATAGCCCAGTGATAGAAACGTATCTGGGAGACCAGCCAGTGTTTAAGTGGCAGGGGAGGGGAGAGAAGCAGAACTAAGGGTCACAGATCTGGCCTTAAAACTCCAAAAAAACATTGACTCAAGTTGGGATGCTGAGGGGTGAACGTCAGATTTTACCAAACCTGCTTCTCCCAGGTTATGACAGACATCACCTCATTTGCCAGACCACGGTAAGCCCTGAAAATGCACCACAACCCCGTTGGCCTAACCTGTCCCGAAGTGAGTGAAGACTGAGAACGAGGGTCCTGATTTTCCAGAGGGCAGGTGCTCCCAGGAGTGGTCAGAGGCCAGCTGCGGCAGCTGGCACCCCAGGCGGAAGGCGTGATCGGCACCCCCGCCTGCACGGCCGTCAATGGTCATGACGTCATCATCGGGCACCCGGGCCAGCGGCGCCCTAGGCAACTGCCGAGTTTGCCTAGGCTCATGGGCCAACCCTGGGTGCTCCACACGAACTGGAAATCAGGCCCCTTTTACAGCTCTCTCAAATTGGGCCCCCAAGATCACAAGTCACTTGTGAAACCGCATGGCTGTGCAGTGGCTCACTCAGACCCCGCAGCGTTGTGTTGTTCACACACGTTAACAGTGTGCTTACGCCCCGTTGACTTATGTACGTGCTTGAGCGTTTTGCTGAATCAGGACCTTCCTGGCCAGAGGCGTGAAATCCAATCACCCAAGGATCTCAGCCTGCATAGCAACAAGCCATTGTTAACCCATGATCAAGCATTGCTAAGAGCAAGGTAAAAGCTTTCCTCGCTACGCCAGCATTCCCGGAAGGAGCCCTGGGACCCCCAGTTCTGCCTGCAGAAGAGTTAACAAGCAGCAGCTGAAGACAGGTAATCTCGCCAGCTGGAAAGCAGGCAGAAGCCCACAGGGGATGGTTTCTGTTGGAGGCACTTAACTCTCGTCTATTATTAATAACCCAGAACAGACAGAGCTGCCCTTCTGCAAAAGGCAGAGACACACTGAGGAGGAAGGGAATCATCTCAGCTTCTAAAATCAGACAACTGAAACCAAAGCAGGAGTCTCAGCCATTTTAGGAGGCACGATTAGGCTCCAACGTGATTAGGAGGCTGGAGCACATGACCTATAAGGAGAGACTGAGGGATTTGGGTTTGCTTAGTCTGCAGAAGAGCAAAGTGAGGGGGGATTTGAGAGCAGCCTGCAACTTCCTGAAGGGAGGTTCCAAAGAGGATGGAGAGAGGCTGCTCTCAGTAGTGACGGATGGCAGAACGAGGAGCAATGGGCTCAAGTTCCAATGGAGGAGGTCTAGGTTGGATATCAAGAAAAACTATTTCCCTAGGCGGGTGGGGAAGCCCTGGGATGGGTTCCCGAGGGAGGTGGAATCTCCATCCCTAGAGGGTTTTAAGGTCTCGGCTTGACAAAGCCCTGGCTGGGATGATTTAGTTGGGGTTGGTCCTGCTTTGGGCAGGGGGCTGGACTCGATGCCTCCTGAGGTCCCTTCCAGCTCTATGATCCTTCTGGAGATTAAACTACCAGGTGTGATCAGGGTGGGAAAGCCAGGCTAACTCAGGGTGGGGGAAGGGAGGAGGGTGTCCGAACAGCATGGGGGCATCTGCATGACCTCAGTGCCTTGGAACAGCTTGCGTACGTCATTACGGATGGGGCGGAGAGGGGCAAGAGGAGGCTTAGCCAAAGCCTTGTCCATGGTATTTATTGTTCAGGACTGGTGCACCAGCTGCTCTAACTGAAGAGAAGGCGCACGGGGGGCGTGCCGAGCGCCACTGAAAAGAAGGTCTTGTGCCCCCATCATGCTACTATCTGAGGGGCCCCCCCTGGGATCAGGGCCCATTCCGTTAGGTGTTGCACAACCACATGGGATGACAGTGCCGCTTCACTCCTCTGCAGCGCTTTCCATTTTGTAAGCCGCCGCAAATATTTCAAGATTAGGCTCATTTTATATATGGGGAAACTGAGGCACCAAGCGGGACCGTGACTTGCCCAAGGTCCCCCTATAGTCCAGTGGCAGGGCCAGGAATGGAACCTTTGCTGAATCTCAGGCCAGTGCTCTGGCCACTAGATCATGGAATGGCACGGTCCCCCCATCCCGAAGCGCTAACAGGGACAGGCAGCCTCACTCCTACTCTTAGCAGGTTTTGGGATTTCCCTGAACAGCTGCCCCAATGCACAGGTCTGTCCAACCGCTGCACCAGGCTCAGCTCCTGATCTCAACCACAGCCGCTTGGGGGACCCTATTTCCCTGTGGTGAACACAGGACAGCTGGTAAAATTCCTCCTAGTCAAGCAAGTTCAACAGGAATCAATCAATTATACAAACATTCAAATAAATGTCAAGTTACAAAGAAATACCATGTAGTCAGGTTGTTTTTCTTTCCCTTAAGATTTTAGGGTCCAAACGAGGAGGGGGGACCCCCACATACACCTCTCTCACACAGGGGCATGTCTGACTGTCCCAGCCCTTCCTGCCTGCACATTCTGCCCCCCAGAACGGACCTGCCTCTCCTAGTATTTGGCATAGCATCTTCCTGGGGTGGGACATGCAGGGTCCCCAGATTTCTGCCAGGGTTCACACCAAGCGGTGGCCAGCAGCAGCCTTTTGGCATATGTGGGAAGGGAAGGACAGGAGCTACAAGGGAGGGGCGGGGCAGGGTGGGGCAGGGGCTCATCACTCCCAGCCCCATTGTCAGCCATGGGCATCCCCTCACACACTCACCACTGGTGGGTGAGCAGCTGGTGAGCAGGACACTTTTGTGGGGGGAGAAGGAAGGGAAGCAGGGACCCCTGCAGGAGGGCTTAAATATGGGACTGTCCCGTCTGGCCACCCTACCCCCCAACCCCACGCCAGAAAGGAAGTGAAGAGGAACCTCAATCTCATACTATTTCTTGCTCCTGATCTTCTTGGTAGTCGTCCATGGGCTCTTCCCTGGCTTTGTCTGGCCCAGCGACACCCTGGGAACACAGGAGAGCAGAGGTTGCTAGGTCAGCCTGGTTAAATACTCTCAGAATCACCCTCCCCCCCCAGCCCAAATTCAACCCTCCCAGAGCGGCAAAGCAGCTTTGGAGAACCGGACTTTCATGCATTGGAGCCCCATGTCTGGAGACCCTGGAACACCAGAGGGGACCGCATGTCTGTGGGCGCTTGCCCCAACTCGACACCTGTCCCCTTTATCCTGCAGGCAGCCAGGGGAGCAGATGGAAGCAGCCCAGTTGTTTCCCAGCAGCCCCCTCCCTTCCCGTCTGCCTGGCGGGGGCTGTGCATGGGAGCGCGCTCACGGCAGGACCAGCACCGTGTCAGAGCTCTGCACGGGTGTGCAGGGGTCACTCCGGGTCGGACAGTCCCTACAGACAGTGGGAGAGTGGGCCGCGCTGCTTCCGCTGAGCCACCAGCCCAAGAGCCAGGGGAGGGACCAACCCCAAAGCGTTCTGGGCTCTAGGGGACTGCAGGGAGAGCAGCGTCACCAGCCCCCAAGCTCCAATCACACTGGCAAAGCCCAGTCCCCTTCCAGCCAGGAGCCCACCGCGAAGCAAATCCGTCCTCCTGCCCGCAGCAGAAACCGTTCGTTCAAGTTGCTTCCCATTGAAATGAGATGGCAGCTGCTTGGGAGACAGGCTGAGAAAAGGAACAGCAACCCAGCCTTCCTGGTGCACGGAGGGCTGCGGGGCACCCACGCGCCCGAGGAAGCCAGGGGTTGAGCAGCTCGCACCGAGAAAGTCTCCGAACAGGAGAGAGGAGGGCAAGGGGGCGTGAAGGGGGGAGCACTCTGCTAGGGATGTGAACGCCTAGTCGCCTACCCCTGTCCCTTGCTGCCTCTATCAGAAAGAGGCAGCAAGGCTGGGGGAACAGGAGGAGGTACTTCAAAGCGGCAGTACCATATGCAGCCTGGGCCCAGCCCCCTGGCTTCACACAGCGCTGCTGTTTTGAAATGCCACGTGTCCCCAGGCTGCATGCGGCATTTCAAAGCAGCAGCACCGCGTGCAGCCCGGGATCCTCCCCTGCTGACCCCGGGCTCCGTGCAGCGCTGCCACTTTGAAATGCCGCTGCTGCTTTGAAATGCCGCGTGGAGCCTGACGCCAGGCTCCCCGCAGCCTTTCGAAGCGGCAGCGCCACATGGAGCCTGGGGTCAGCGGGGGAGTCCTCAGCTGATCCTGGCTCCAAGTGGTGCTTTGGCCTTTGAAGTATAGCAATGGCCCTAGAGCTGGTGCTACACTTCAAAGGCAGAGGCGCCCTATCGACTAATGTCAACGCAAAATGCATGGACTATTCAATTACTACATCCCTACTCTCTACACCCACCATAGCTCAGCTGGGCTCAATCAATGCAGCTTCTCTGACTCCAGGTAAGCGCCAGTGATTCACACCAGCTCAGGATCCAGCCCATGGCTGCTGCCTGTTAGCAGGCTAGCAGTGAAGGAGCCATGGGCTGGTGCAGGGCACCCTGGCCTTTCCCACTAAAACAGGGCATGGGCATGGTGAGAAAGGGTCCCTCGAGGAAGAAGTCACTGGATCATTCCCCTTCCCATAACAATGGCTGATGGCTCTCTGCCCACTTGGGAATATTCATCTTCCCTGGAGTCACGGGTTTGAATCCCGGTGCGATCAACTCAGCCGTTCACCATTCAGAGCGGCTGGGAGCAGTGTTACCTCTAATTTTTTCCATTCGTGGGCAGGATACATTTTGCTCTGTGCACTGAAGCATGTGTGGATGTGCACCACCCATAGAAACACATGCTGCTGCTTGTGGGCGCTCTGCTAATGAGCTGGGCAGCATTTGAATCTCTCCAGGGTGGCCACCCAAGCTAGGGATGCAAAATCCCATTTCATTGGCTAATTGATTAAACATATTGTTTAACCAGTTAACTGATTAAAGGGGCCTGAGCAAGGGGGCTGCTCCAACTGGAGCACCTCCTCCTTCCCCACACACACACACACACACACACACACACACACACACGCACGCTGCCTAGGGGCTGCTCCAGCCTGGTGAAAGCAGCCCCTGTCCATGGTGGCCCTCTCCCTCCACCGGTTAACCTTAACCAGTACACCTCACCTGTTGAGGCTGAGGCTTACCAGTTAACCGGTTAACCCTTTACAGCCCTAGCCTAAGCACAGAGCTTACAGGGAACACTGGCTAGGAGGCAGCATAATCAAACAGCCACGGCACAGGGGGCTGCTCCAGCCTGGTGAAAGCAGCCCCTGTCCATGGTGGCCCTCTCCCTCCACCGGTTAACCTTAACCAGTACACCTCACCTGTTGAGGCTGAGGCTTACCAGTTAACCGGTTAACCCTTTACAGCCCTAGCCTAAGCACAGAGCTTACAGGGAACACTGGCTAGGAGGCAGCATAATCAAACAGCCACGGCACAGCTGGGAGCGATGGTACCCAGGTTTTATGCCCAGCTCATCCATTGAGTCAAAGGCTGGCCTTAGTGGCACCAGCTCAGGAGAGCACCAGGACCGGTATCGGGCAGGGGCAGGCTGCATGGCATCTGCCCTACCTGAGCCTGACCCTACCCATGGCAGCCCCAGAGCTGCAGATGATCAGAGCTGGTCGGGAGGTGGATTTTCTGCCGCCCGCCAGACCCACACCTGGCTACCCTTCCAAATACCCTCCCCCTCCACTGGGCCCCCTGGGGAGCTATTCACAGCTGCTCCAACACCAAACCCACCTGATCACCCAGGTCAGAAACAAAGCCAGGCACTGGACTAAGGTTTGTGGCATTCCCATGGTGGGAAGGAGCAGGGAGATCCAGCAAGAGAACAAGGAAGGAAAAGGGAAAACCAACAGACAAGGGGAGTGTTCTGTCCTCTGGTTAGTTCTGTCCTTGACAATGCCCTATTTATGCAGCTCTGGCTGCTGCTGCATCTTAACACCGCACAAGAGATAGTAAGAAACCCGTGACAAGGGCCATTTGGAACATAACGGCGACAGCAAAGCTACAACTTCCTCCAAAGCTCAGGCCCCTCCCACTTCACCTACAGGAGAATCTGTTTCCTATGAGCACTATAGGCCTTATGACACACAGTCATGCCATTCTTGATTCCATCTAGTAGTTCATTCATAAGAAACTGACCAAGCTGACTAAGGAGTTTAAGTTTTCTTCCCAGAGGCGTGATAAGTTTGCGCACAGTCTCACCACCTGAGCTCTCAGGCCTTTCCTCATAAGGTATCCATGCTCTGAACCTACAGCATGAGCAGCTCAGCTGAACCCAGGCAAAGACACGTAGCGAACGTACGAACTCTTTTCCCACTATGGGGCTGGAGGGTTTTATTCAGCAGATGCAAGTCTTTGCATCAATGTCTATTCTATGAGTCTGGAGGGGTTTTAGACTCGCTGCCAATTCTCGGTTTAGAGCCTGACAGATAAAATGCTGCTTTGAAAAACAAGTGAGACAGAGAATACTTGGCAGCCTGTCAAAACAAGCTAATATTTCCCTGCCGCAGAGCCCGCTCCAGGCAGCAAGAAGCGCTTTACAAAAGAAACAGCTTCCTTCTGCAGAGGGGCATCTCCGTGGAGGAGACCAACATCTCCCTCGCACAGCGTAACCTCCATCAGTCCACCATGGCCGCGGCCGCATCACAGGAACCACCAGGCTAGACCATGCAAAGTCCCTCTCGTTTGGTGTCTCTGACAATAGCTGCAACCGGCTGCTTCAGAGCAGCATGAGGTAGACAGTGAGGGGGATCCTGGATTCTAACTGCTCGAAGCTGGCGTAAGCCCCAGAGTGAAAGATTTAATCTCTTCAATTCATTGGTTGTCCTTAATTGTGACAAGCCAGGAAATTCCCCTATATGAGCCTGGTTACGTTCCCGGCCTTAACTTCATGGGACTAACCTATGGAACTCATGGCCACAGGGCTAGTGAGAAAGGATTTCCTTTCAAATGTTTCACCTTTTAATTGCACTGAGCGACTCCTGGCTCTTGTGCTGAGAGATGGAGAGACGTTACCGTTTCTAGACCCTGCATGTACTCAGAAGGGGGCGTATCGAGAGCCAAGGGCCCTCCCAGCTGTGCCAGCTATGACCTGAGGCTCTCTAACACATAGAGATGCCATGCGATGTGCCAGGATTCCCAGGTTTCAGCCTTCTTGGGGTTACACCTATTACCAGTGACTGCAAGAAGAATAATAAAATCCACCTTACAACCAGATTTCTCTTCTCCCCTTGAAGAATAAAGGGTTTGGGAGGCCCAGCTCCCCAAGTGGCACCAGACTGGGTAGAGGAGCAAGCGGGGTACATTCCATAATAGCTGGACAGAAAGGTGCTGCCATGCCAGCCTCATAGCCAGTAGGGGTATGTCTACACTGCAACCCTAGTTCGAACTAGGGTGGCTAATGTAGGCATTCGAACTTGCAAGTGAAGCCCGGGATTTAAATATCCTGGGCTTCATTTGCATGTTCCCGGGCGGGCGCCATTTTTAAATGCCCGGTAGTTTGAACGACCTGCCTGCAGCTACACGCGGCACGGACTAGGTAGTTCGAATTAAAGCTCCTAATTCGAACTACTGTTATTCCTCCTGCAAGGATATTTAAATCCCGGGCTTCATTTGCAAGTTCGAATGCCTACATTAGCCACCCTAGTTTGAACTAGGGTGGCAGTGTAGACATACCCTGGGAGAGTGAGAAACGAGGGCAGTTTGCTAGTGGCTCCTGGAAACTCAGTCAAAATTGTTCATGATCCAGCTGGGTCTCCAGTGCATAAACTGCCCAGAATCAGAGACATGCTGATGAGGAAGGGTTTAGAATGGCCACACTGGGTCAGACCGAAGGCCGGCCAGCCCAGTATTCTGTCTTCCAACAGGGGCCAATGCCAGATACTCCCAGAGGGAATTAACAGAAGAGGGAATCATCAAGCGATCCCTCCCATCATCCGTTCCTAGCTTCTGACAAACAGAGGCTAGGGACACCATCTCTGCCCATCCTGGCTAATAGCCACTGATGGACTTAACCTCCAGGAATTTATGTAGCTATTTTTTGGACCCTGTTAAAGTCCTGGTCTTCACAACATCCTCTGGCAAGGAGTTCCAGAGGTTGACTGTGCACCATGTGAAGAAATGCTTCCCTTTGTTTTAATCTGCTACCTATTCATTTCATTTGGTAGCCCGTAGTTCTTATGTTATGGGAATAAGTAAATAACTTTTCCTCATTCACTTTCTCCACACCAATCATGATTTTTTAGACCTCTATCATATTCCCCCCTTAGTCTCCTCTTTTCTAAGCTGAAAAGTTCAGTCTCCTTAATCTCTCGTTGTTCCAAACCCCTCGTTTTTGTTGCTCTTTTCTGAACTTTTTCCAGTTGTAAAGTATCTTTTTTGAGATGAGGCGACCACATCTGCACGCAGTATTCAAGGTGTGGCATTTATACCGAGGCAATAAGATATACTCTGTCTTATTCTCCACCCCTTCCTTAAGGATTCTCAACATTCTGTCTGCTTTTTTGACTGCTGGGTTCTCTCACTGTCAGCCCATCCCAATGTAGCACAGGAGCTGGGAGAGTGCGTGTGTGAAAGTTTTCCTGGGGGCATGCATCCTCTCCCTCCTCCCAAGTGTAGGGCCAGGAACCCTGTTCATCTCTCCCCCACACTCCTCCCTGCAGAATTGGCTTCCCCCATCACATTAGTTACCTTCAGTGGCTTCTTCATCTCCTCTTTCACTAGCATGCTGGGTTCCTTGTATTTCTCTGTTCTCACTGCCTTCTCCTCAAACTCCGGCCTCTCCAGCTCAGCTTCCTCAAACTCATCTTCCCCTTGGTTATTGGGATCCTGAGCAGGGTCTCCTGCAGCATCAGGCATCTGGGTGAAGGAAGCCTCTTGTGAGCACCCAAGCAGTGACATACGCAACACACGGCAGCCAGGACAAGCCGGCTTTCTCCAGTGATTAAACCCAGGCCAATGAGGAGAAGCTACACTTGAGGATGGAGGAAAGAGGCCTTCCCACCTCTCTGCAGCAGTCCTTAGGCGTTCCCCCAGATCAGGGTCTCCTCAAGTGAGACTAAGAAATTCTGGCTAATGGTGGTGATGGGGCCTAAAAAGACCACGCCAAATCTTCTTTGCTTACCCCTTCCTTCTTTATTGCCCCCTTCACCAGGGTTCCCTCTCATTTTTTCCCCATCCATGTGCAGAATAAAAATGCCATGGTGCACAGAACAATGTGTGGATGTGCACCACCAATAGATACACATGCTGCCAGCTGTGAGCAGCATTTCAATCTTTTCTGGGTGGCCGCCCAAGCGCTCTGCTTACAGAGAACACTGCCCCTCACCCCACTTTCCACCCTGCTAAATCCCAAGGCACTGTGTATGTGCATCCTGTGAGTCTCCCCATCGGTCCAGCTACATTGGCAAATGAAGAAGCACCCAGCGGAAGTGAAGCCTTAACGAAGTGCTTAGGGAGTCATTGCCCGGACACTCAGCAACCCAAGGAAGGAAACCACCTCACATCAGAAAGTTGGTTTGCCCAGAAGCAATTGGCAATAGGCACAATGACCTTAAATCAGTCCCCGGAAAGGAGGAAACTGCCCTGTGTTTAATCAAACCAGCCTCAGAGAGAAAGGAGTCACATTGACCTAAGCTCCAGTAGAGAGGGGCAGACACAGCTCCGAGGCTGGGGGAGATGCAGGACTCCTGCCTTATAGCAGATTGGTTAGAAACACATCCTGTTGCTGAAATAAAAGAATGAATGGGGAGGGAAGAGACACAGGGTCATCTCTTCTGCTTAATATCGGCCATCGTTTTGCTTTGGTGTTCTCCTCTGTAGGTCACTAGAGGAAACAAACTCTTCACAGGTGGAGCTAGATTAGTGGGGGGGAGCAGAGGAATGTAACTAACCAGCTAGGTCCTCTCATCTAGGGAAGACAGAGAAAGGAGAAAGTCTGTGCGCAAGACAAGCTTACGGATAAACTTGTGATGTCCCCCCCCACCTTCCCCAAGAACTTGCAGGCACCACGCTGGGCAAAAGGAAGTCAAGCAAGCTGGAGGTCCAAGGCCCTGCCAGTGTTATGGAGGCTAGGGAGAGGGAGGAATGGGAAGGGAAAGATCACATCTCTCTGAAGTCACTACACCTCCTTCTTCACTTAGGGGACCATGGGCTCTCTCCTCTAGTCTCTCTGAGCCAAGAGAAGGCCGTTAATGGAGCTGCAGCGCTCCAGATGGACATGGATTATTTACATGGCGCGTCTCACCTTCAAAGCACTTTGCAAACCATCGAGCTAGCCCTACCACCATCATAAATGCTGGTCCGCGCATTGCTTCCCCCACAGCCCCACAGATAAAATTACGTGCCCACGTTTTCCCCTGCAATCTGAATAGATTTACAGATGGTTGAAACAACCTCCTTCTGCTAGGCCAGTGGTTCTCGGTCCCTTCCCATCCCTTTTCTACAACTGGCACCAGGATGTGAAGAAGCAGGTAACTGACTAATTGTGTAGTGGAGACAATCTGCATTAAGTACACGATTAGTCAATAAGGGGCCCCACTGCGGCTCTGTAGTTTAAATGTAGTAAAAGCTGGGCGGCTCTTACTACATTAAAAGGCAGAGTTGCAGCAGGGGTCGGTACAGGACCCGGCGTGAGCCAGGATTGCTGAGTCCTGGCTTGCTGCGCCTCTGCCTCCCCTGCCCCCGCCCTGCTTTTAAGCCAACTCCCCCTCTGCTGCCTCTGATACAGAAGCAGCAAGGGGAAGGGGGGAGTGAGTAGTCGAGTAATGACTCAGCTAAGTCACTTACCTCCCTAACCTGCTCCTCAGGATCTCTCCCCGATCCAAAAAAATGAGATCTATCCAGGACCTATTTAGCCACCAGGGAAGGGTAACATGCTCAGGACCCTCTGAAACAACAGGTTTATGACCCCCCTCCCCCAGGAGTAAGAGATTCAGTAACTGATTAGATACAAGATGTCAACAAACAGCAAATAATTTACCCCTGCCCCTCGCTGCCTGTGCACACTTGCTCTGACCAGCTCCGCTCTGCCTAGCGCCCATCAAAGCACAGTAACTGGGCCTGTTTTCATGGAAGTGACTTGTCTGAGAACTCATGGCTGGGACTGGGATGCAAACACCCACCTCTCAGTCTGTGCTGCCCATATCTCCCCACCAGCACTTGCATGGAGGCTGGGAACACCTCAACTGTTCTTCATTCAAACACCACCTTCTTGTGGGCAGAGGTGAGAACCCCCCGGGAATGCCGGGTCATACACGCTCCCCGGAAAGTTTCTGCTTTACTGGCAGACTTTGGCTTCGAGTGCTGACAACATGGCAACTACTCTTACCACTGGCTCCTGGACCACCGCCTCTTTTCGGGCATGCCCGATCTCTTCTCTTTCAATCATCCCGGCATCTGGAAGAAAAGTGAAATTCCAGTCAATCTGTCTGGCCAAAAGCCTCTTCCAGGGAGCAGCAGAACCGCCGGGGCACTCGGTAGTGTGACTGTTTGGCCCTGTGCACCCTGGAAAGTTCTTGCTCTCCCAAAGGAAGAGAACTCACGCATCACTCGTGCCTATGTGGGAAAGAAAGTGCACTGGCCTGTGACAAAACATCACTGGAAGAAGAGAAGCAGGGTGGCTACCAGGCCACAACACAGACGTAGAGCAGAAGCGGCTGCAGCGTTGAATCTGCAGATCGCCTGACACAATAGCTTGGAGGGGTGGGGAGAAATGGAGGCAGAGAAATGACTTGTCTGATGAGAACAGACGGGTTGGCTCCTGGTGCCTAATGACATTATGTTAAATTGTCAACACTGACCGTCATCAGTGGTCTCAGAGGGGTAGCTGTGTTAGTCTGAAACTTAAAAAAAACCCAAAAACTTAAAGAGCAGCCCTGTAGCACTTTGGAGACTAACAAAAATACATAGGTAGTATCATGAGTTTTCGTGGGCTCCTCTGAAGTGGATTGTGCCCACGAAAACTCATGATACTATCTATCTATGTATTTTGGTTGGTCTCTAAGATGCTATGGGATTACTTGTTTTAAGGTGTTATTGAGTTCCGCCCCCCCAATCAATGATCACTTTTGTATGCACCAAGCCAATGTGCTAGCTAGCTGCTGTCAAGGGCGGCGGGGCAACGAGCAACTCGGTGCCTGGCCTCTGAGATTGGACATCGCCTTTTCCCTGGCCTCACAGAGGCGCTTCCGCAGCCAAAACCCAAAGCCACTTCCCATATCGCCGTGAGCAGCAGCAACCCCTCTGCCCCACCGGCCAAAATCTCCCCTGGAGACATCGGTGACGAAATTACGTGCGGGCAGCACAAAAATCTCTGGGTCTAACCGTGGGGACGACAGACCAGCGTGCCCAGGGGCCCAGCGGGAGCGGAGGAGGGCCTGCTCCACGCCCTGGAAGGGGTGGGGCTGGGGCTTACCTCTCCAAGGCAGCCCTCAGCACCATCCAGCAGATGTCGTGCAGGGCTCCAGCGGCAATTTAAAGGGCACAGGGCTCCAGCCGCTACTGCCGCGGAAGTGTTGGCTGGGAGCCCCTGGCTCCTTTTGAATCGCCAGGCCACAGCTTTCAGGGGCAAGGGATTTGTAAGGCCGCCTTTTTGGAGGCTTAATTATCCTTGAGGCGCCCATAACATCCATCTGCTTCCCGGAGTCAGACCACGGGGCGTTTGGCTCACGGAGCCATCGGGCTGCTCAGCCACTAATCTGCACGTTCAGGAAAACGTCTCTCTCGCTCCCCACCCTGGGCGACTGCAGAGGCTGGGTGGTATCCATGGAAACAACCCAGTTGTGCAGCCAGTCAGAGCATCGCTCCAGGCCCAACTGTGCCACGGTGGGTTACAGGTCGGCACCACGTCTCCCTGCCTTGGCACGTGATGCTTGGAAATTAAAGGCGGGTGCCCTGCGTGGAAAGGGGGAGAGAAAGGGGAACCACAGGGAGCATCAGTGAGCAGGATGCAAGGCTGCTCGTTATGGTTATTTCTTCTGTTGTATGGTTTGGACCCTGCACGGCCCTTGAGTTTGACCAGAGGGAGGCCCAAACCACATCAGGTCAGGGTCTGGATCCAGCTGGCTCCAACGGGCACGGCTGACCACGCCGCAGCAAGCAGAGCAGGTTGATGTTGGAGGCTGCTTTGCATCGCCCACATCAGGCTACTAAACCTGGTGTGCAATCGACAGGGCAAGTGCGTCCCAAGAGAAGGACGCTGCAGCCATCGGTGGCACGCGGAGAGAACACGAAGCCCCACGCCCGCTCCTCCCCTCAGACCGGCAGGAGCAGGGAGAACCGGGGAGGCAGCACACGGATCCCTTGAGGGGACACAAAGACAAGGATGGGCAACCCATAGGGCTCAACAACGATTCTCTGACCCGTCGGCAACAGGGTGTATGAGTGGTGAAGAACATTCCAATGAGAAAATGGCGACTGCAAGATGGCAGACGTGGGCGTGTAAAGCATGGTGTGCTGGAGGGAAGCCCAGCCCGCTGGCAGAATGAGATAAATTTATAGGGTGGTTCCCCCATTCAGAAATTACTCCTCCCCCCCACTAAAGAGCTTCATTCTCTGTAGTCCCTAATCCCAGGGTGTGGAGATTGTGCCTCCCCCAGCTCATGGTCTAAATCTGGCTGCATTGGGCCCAGCGTCTTTGAGGCCTGGATGCATTTTTAAGTGCAAAAACAGGCAACAGAAAAGAAATATTCCTGCCTGAGATGCTTCTCTACCATCCTGGGATTCCTGAGAGGCAGGAAAAAAAGAGCACGGAGGGCCCATCGGCCATTTTGAGAGGGCATCATTGTTTATCCCTCTCCTAACAATCCTTGACAAGAGCAGCCTTAACGAAGGCCAGCGGCTGGGAGTGGGGGTGGCGCTTCTGTGCTGTCATCTGAATTAGCCAAGTTTTCCTTCTTGCACCATTAAGTAAGAGTCCAAGAGACAACAGGACTCCCAATTAGATAGTTTCATAGCCAGGGCAGGGGAGTTGCTCCCTAGGGCGTTAATCCCAATTAAGGCCCGGAGGTCAAGTCCTGCTGGTCCCAACACCCCCCAGTGCAAGTTAGTTTCCTTCAAAGCGGAGTTCACTTTGATGTGAGGCAATTAGTTTGATTCTGCTGAGGGAACTTGTGGAAAGCAGGGTATTTAAAGATGAAATACCAGCTGGGTTCCTCTATGGGAAAAGACAAAGCATCTGGGCTTTGAAACAAGAACATGGCTCCTCCAGACTCTCTCTCTCTCTTACTCAGTCTCCACCCTTCTCTGTGCCCAGTTGACTGGACCGGGTGAGCACAGGATTGGTTTGATATCGGACATGTCAAATATTTGGGAGGGGGCGGGTCTCTTGCCTGGGAAGGACAATGACCCAGCAATCCAGAGCTCCCTCTCTCTAATACGGCAACACTCCGTTAGGGTATGTCTACACTAGATTGTTAATTCGAGCTAGGTAGGCAAATGAGGCGACCGGAGTTGCAAATGAAGCCTGGGATTTAAATATCCCAGGCTTTATTTGCATGTTCCCGTCCGGTCGCCATTTTGAAATTTCACTAGCCCAAACTCACTGCCGCATGGCTACACGCGGCCACAAAACGTTAATTCGTACTAAGCCCTTAGTTCGAATGAACTGTTACTACTCGTGGAAGGAGGAATTAATGAGCTAGTGTAGACATACCCTTAAAGTCATAACAGCCTGCATCTCTGCCTCTCACCGCCACTATTCCTATTCCCAGCCTTCTCCTGAGAAGAGAATGACAACCGCATCCAAATCCACTGGCAAGAGATCAGGCTGAGACCAGCCAACTCATTTTCACTGGTGACCTAAGCCAGGATTTGAACCCAGGTCCCCAGAGGCTGAGTAGAGAACCCAGGAGTCCTGGCTCCTAAACTTGTTACCCCACTTACTAGCAAATTTGCCTACGGTCTCAAACAGTATTGCATTCAGAATCAGGGTGACACTCAGATATAGGTCACTGACCAAAGGCAACAGAGACTTTGTTCACTCAGCTCCAGTTAGTAATCCCATGCGGTTGCACTGATCAAATCTGCATTCTTACTGTAATTAAGTGTGTTAGCCCTTTAGATCTGAGCAGTTAATCAATATTTGGAATCTTGTGGATTGTTTCGGTAAGGGACAGAAATTGATGATGGAGTCAGGTTTTACTTTGATGCAATCCTGTTTATTTACAAAGAATGTACATAAAGTCCTGTTTCCCTGAACGCCCTAAGAAACAAACAGCAAGGAGATAGTTTTTCTCTTCACAGTTCTAAGCCCTTTTCCAACCAGCACTCAGCCCAAAAGCTCTCCCTGCTCAAAGTCACACCTTTCTCTGGCTCTCGGTGGCTTCCTTGCTGTCTTCACTATTTGAGATGTTTCTGCTGCTTCTCCCCTGCACACAGATGCACTGCTACAATCCCTCATCTTTGCATTATTTATCAGATCCCTAAGAAACCCCTTGGGCCGCATGGCCCATCGACAACCCAGGCTTGAAAACAGTCTAGTCCTTGGGCAGCGGCCTTCAATTGTTTCAGCTATCACTAAACAAAGGGGCATGGTTCCCTCAGTTCCCCTGTCCAGCATGACAACAATGAGATGGTGTGATTGTCCCACCCTCAGTTTGACAATATTAACCCAGGCCTGCACAACTCGGAAAGTGGCGAGGGCCATATTACTCCAAAGAAAACAGCTGCGGGCCGCAAGTAGGGATGCTCTCCCCAAAAATACCGAACACCCAGGGATGCTCTCCCAAAAAATACCGAACAGCCGGCTAAAAATTTTTGTTGAGCAAAACAAACAAAAATGAAAAAAAACACCACACCGCGTGTCTCCACTTGGCCCCCTTGCATTTATCTCTCCTTCACCCTGCCTGGTGTCTTGGTGTCTTCCCCTTCCTGGCATCTACCGATGTCCCACCCTCTGGCTCACGCCCCGTCTCCTCGTGCCGGAGCTGCATGCAGGCAGCCCAGCAGCACGAATCGCTGCACTTCCCCCTCCCCGGTGGATCAGATGGGCCACACCGCCCGTAGTTGGCACAGGCCGCACAGTGAGCCCCTGCGGGCCGCATGCGGCCCTTGGGCTATATGTTGTGCAGGCCTGATTTACACACTGCCTGTGAAGTGACGCAAAGATAAAGGCTCTTCCCCCTCTCAAGCCTCAGCTAGGGTATGTCTACACTACCACCCTAGTTCGAACTAGGGTGGTAGTGTAGACATACCCTAGCTGAGGCTTGAGAGGGGAAGAGCCTTTATCTTTGCGTCACTTCACAGGCAGTGTGTAAATCAGGCCTGCACAACATATAGCCCAAGGGCCGCATGCGGCCCCTGGGCTATATGTTGTGCAGGCCTGATTTACACACTGCCTGTGAAGTGAAGCAAAGATAAAGGCTCTTCCCCTCTCAAGCCTCAGCTAGTGAATTACTTATGAACCATTTTCCTTGCCTGATGATGAACTGTAGCATCAGATCAAATGGTCCTCCCTCCCTCTCCACCTTTGAATGGCTTCTCCTTGCAAATGCAGGATTAGGTGGCTGAACCTATCTGGGCAGTCTCAATGCAGCTGGAACAGCAGAGGGTCCACATCTAGCATGTACCAGGACCGGTTTCCTCCAGCTGCCCAGACTGAACCTTCCAAGGCCTTTGCAGTTGTCTGATGGACTAATGCAATTCATTGGCCTTTGTATTGGCTTACTCTTTGCCCTCAAAGGATGCTGGGAAATTCACTGCCAGGTTGGAGCTTGGAATCCCTCTTCCGAAAAGAAAAATGACGTGGGAGACTGAACTCAAGTCTCTTGCCAGAAACAGTGGAACGGGAGTCTCCATCTCTCTCTTATAGACAGGAGACAAACTGCCTCAGCCTGCGTGAATTCCCGGCACACTGCTTCTGTTTATAAGCACGTGCCCTGGAGAAAGGGGACAGGGTCAAGGCTGGACGAAAGGGCTGCCCCATCCCCAATATCCAGGTGATGAAATGGACTTCCCAGATGACAGAGGAGAATAAGGGCAACAGCCTCCCCTGTAAATTACTAGAGGCAGCCCCTTTCGCCTTCCATCCCTAAGGAAACAGACTCCTTAGTCATTTGTAAGGGCAGGGGGTGGGAACCTTTTTTGGGTGGGGGGCCACTGACCCACAGAAAAATCAGTTGGGGCCCACACACAAGTGAGAAGCAGAAAAAAATCGTCACTGGCTGACTGAGAAGGCGAAAGACAGTCCTCACAGTCCCCTTGCACTCCAGAGCCTGGGGGTACACGCCAAGCCCTGGGGGAGCAGCAGGAGGGCTGGAACACTGGCACAGGCTCCCCAATCCTGGGGGTGGCCCTGAGTCTTGGGGGCCGGATCCAGGCAAACCAAGGGCCACATCCAGCCCCTCGCCTGAGGTTCCCTGCCGGATGCCAGATGTTAAGCATGCTTCTTCCTGGGCGCAGCGGCATGGGTGTCAGGGGATTCCCAGAACCAGTCTCCATTTCTGCACGTGGCAAGGCAGGAAAGAGACGAGTTTTTAAAGCTCCTCGCAACTGGACTTTGTTCACAGCAAAACACGCCTTGGTTGTACCTGCGTTCTGGGCCTATTGGCACTAACCCTAAACCAGGCTTGGCCAGTACTTGAATGGGAGCCCTTCCAGCACACCAGTGGAGTGCATGAATTCATACTGGAGACAGTAGCAGCTGCAAGAAGCAGTCTCCTGCAGTGCTGAGAATCCAAACAGGACTGAGCTAGGGCATGAGACAGAGGAAATGAAAGGGATTAGAGATGTGGGCAAAAATGGCCCAGTTTGGATTTTTTCTAAAAAAAAAAAAAAAAAGTTCTTTTGACAAAAATTTCAAATTAAAATTTTTCTTGCAGTTTTGGAGAGACTTCTTATATTAGTAACCTTCCCCCTTGGAAAGCATCAGTCATTATTGTACTTCACTGCATCAGGGAACCATACCCATCTCGAGCTCCTCATCATCTGTCCCTTCCTTGTCTCCTTCCTGATTGGCTATCTGAGGCTCTGCCTCTCTCTGTTGATTGGCCACCAATAGATTGCCATTCTGTATCTCTTGCTCAGGTCTGGTGTCTAGGTGAAGGCGCTTTGCGGAACTGTGCACGTGTTCCTCATCCATTTGAGCATTCACTTTGTTTACAATGTCTTGCCAGCTGCAACAAAAATAAGAAACAAAACTCAGAACAAGCCACACAGCAGTAAGCACAAGAGACATTTCAAAGTGAGGTTTCATATTCTAAATGCAAACAGGAAAAAAAAAACCCACCCAAAACCAAACTCACATCCAACACATGCAAAACTACCTAATTATACATCTTGGGAAAGGAGCAGATTGCATTAGTTAGCCCTGCAAGCTACATGGAAAAACCACAGAAGAATTAATATGCTACATAAGTGCAAGATAAAATACTTTATAAATTGAATGTATTATTATTAGAAAGCTTTAATCTCTTATTCATGCACGGTGATAAATTATCTATACTGCAGTGGTGATATTTCCTCTCACTCCAAATGAATACATTCTCATGCTTCCCACATATTAGAAGGCATAAATTTGCCTTCCTGGAAAAATACCAGACCAAACATCCTTTTTATGTCTCAGTAAGTAATAATGCTGCTTGTACCACAGACTTCTAAAATAATTGGGCCAAACTTTGAAGAACCATTATGGAGAACCGTGAAGTGTAGAATGCCTTCTTAAGATAAACAAGGCTTTAAGGAACTTGTTGTAAAGCAACCCTTCAGATAGCCTCCTACAGATCTACTTCAATAAAATCTTTCATATAAATTGGTTGTACAGGTTGAACCTCTCTAGCCCAACCTGACCGGTGCCAAACTAGAAAATTTGCCAGACTACAGGAGGTCAGTATGGTCTAGCAGCGTTACCCACACTTCCACTGCTTACTGGGCTCTTATTGAGACATTTAGGGGTAAATTAGAGCTAACCAGCAGCACAGAACAGCGAGAGACAGGACTGGTGGCTGTAAACAAACTTTATGGGACCGCAGGAAATTATGCCACACCAGTGGACATCCAGCTAACTAAAAACATACTGGACCACAGATGTTGCCGGACCAGAGAGTGCTAGATTCGAGAGGTTCAACCTGTAGTAATTGTGACCAATGTTGTGGTGAAGGTCCCTTGGTCTACTTTGGGCAGTGGGGCTCTCTCTTTTAGAACTTGACCTCTGTGACCTGCCTGCCTCTGAGCTCTGTGGAATGATGGGCAGCACCTGGCCAGGTAGGCAGGGAGTTTGATCCTTCCCCATGAATGATATGCCAACCTGCTCCTGTTGCTCCCTGGACCTGCTCTGTCTGCCCACTTCCCTCTTTGCACGACAAAGGTTTTTTAATGACGGTTGGTGGCAAGACAGCCATCCTTCGCCTCAATGCTGCCAATTCTGTGCAGGAGTTCTACTTGTCACAGGGCTCAGAAGCCCATCTCTGCGTGGCCATCCAGAGGCCTGCCTATAAACGTGCACAGGAATGGAGCGGGGCATACAGGAGTGCAGAACGTAGAACATCCATGAAGACATTTTCCACAAGTGCCAGAAAGGAAGCATCTTTTATGCCGGGTACAAAGATGGCCCAGCCTTCTCCAACAAGGGAACTGCTCTCCACCCCGCTCTTGCAACAACGCACTAGGAGGGGCAAAATTCAATCCCCCGAGCACTTCTGAAGATCTCTACCACCACCAGAGCCAAACCCAGACCTTGAGATTCACTCGAGTGGCACCTGCCTGCACCAAGCCTGAACTCAGCCTTGATTTCTGAGGAACGCCTTCACGTTTTTTGTGGCTGAACCTTGAAGGTTCAACATCTGGGTACAGCCTCCCAAAGACCAGTTTGCTTCTCCAGAACAGCAACATTCCACCAATGCTGGAGGCAGAGACTTTCAGGAGTGGCAAACGAGGCGGAAGTACCAGAACGTAAAGCCTCGAAAATTGGCTCCGTTTAAGTTCAGACTTCTGCTTTATGCAGCCTGAAATCCCCGATTCAGAGGCACATGCCAGTCAAGATTTTCAAACCTGCCTAAGAGATTTGGACACTCAGGTGCCATTAACATTAGTGGGACTGGTGCTTCCAACTCTCTTAGGGCACATATTTACTTTGTAGGCTTATCCTAGGCTCATACACACAAACACGTGTTAGTTTAAGCCTTCCTCGGAGAGTCCCCATTGCTCCGGCATACGTTCCCTATACTCTGTATATCTGTGTCAGCTTCAGAGCTGCAGCTACCTGCATCAGGCACAAAGATTTCTGGGAGCGTATCCCCGAGTTCTTGGTACCAAGCCAATGGGAGCCTCTCAAGGATTGGGCTCTTGACAGAACTGGTCTGTCTTCTCCAGACCAGTGTGTGGAAGAGGCTTCAGCTCAGTACACTCCTCCGCTCTGCCTGTTCCAGCCAGGCTCAGCTCATAGAGCATCACAGAATCCTAGAGCTGGAAGAGACCTCAGGAGGTACAGTCCAGTCCAGCCCTCTAACCAAGGCAGGACCAACCCCAACTAAATCAATCCAGACAGGGCTTTGTGAAGCTGAGACTTTAACACCTTTAGGGATGGAGACTCCACTACTTCCCTAGGTAACCCATCCCAGTGCTTTACCACCCTCCTAGAGAAATAGCTTTTCCTAATATCCAACCTAGACCTCCCTAACTGTAACCTGAGACCATTGCTCCTTGTTCTGCCATCCGACACTACTGAGAATAGCCTCTTTCCATCCTCTTTGGAACCTCCCTTCAGGAAGTTGCAGGCTGCTATCAAATCCCCCTCACTCTTCTCTTCTGCAGACTAAAGAAACCAAAATCCCTCAGCCTCTCCTCATAGGTCATGCTCTCCAGCCTCCTAATCATTTTGGTCACCCTCCACTGGATTCTCTCCAATGTGTCCACATCCTTTCTATAGTGGAGGCCAAGAACTGGACACAATACTCCAGATGTGGCCTCACCAGAGCTGAATAAAGGGAAATAATCACTTCTCTGTATCTGCTGGCAATGCTCCTCCTAATGCACCCTAATATGCAATTAGCCTTCTTGGCTACAAGGGCACACTGTTCACTCATACCCAGTTTCTCATCCACTGTAATCCCCAGGTCCTTTTCATCAGAACTGCTACTTAGCCATTCAGTCCTCAGCCTGTAACAATGCTTGGGATTCTTCCGTCCCAAGTGCAGGATTCTTGTCCTTGTCCTTGTTGAACCTCATCAGATTTCTTTTGGCCCCATCCTCTAATCTGTCCAGGTCACTCTGGACCCTGTCCCTGCCCTCCAGCGTATCTACCTCTCCCCCCAGCTTAGTGTCATTTACCAACTTGCTGAGGATGCAATCTCTCCCTTCATTCCGGGTACTAATAAAGATATTGAACAAAACTGGTCCTAGAACAGATTATCTTGGGGTACTCCGCTAGAAACCGACCGCCAACCTGACATCAAGCCATTGATCGCTACCCATTGCTCCCGACAGTCTAGCCATCTTATGGTCCATTTATCCAATCCATATCCACAGAGCCAGTTACCACATCATAGAAGCTAATCAGATTGGTCAGGCATGACTATCCCTTCGTGAATCCATGTTGACTATTCCTGATCACTTTCCCCTCTTCCAAGTGCTTCAAAATGGATTCCTTGAGGATCCCCTCCATGATTTTTCCAGGGACCGAGGTAAGGCTGACACATCTGTAGTTCCCTGGATTGTCCTTCTTCCCTTTTTTAAAGATGCCTACATTTGCCTTTTTCCAGTCATCCAGGATCTCTCCCAATCTCCAAGAGTTTTCAAAGATAATGGCCAAAGGCTCCGCAATGACATTTGCCAACTCCCTCAGTACCCGCGGATGCATTAAATCAGGGCCCATGGATTTGTGTGTGTTTAGTTTTTCTAAATAGTTCCTAACCTGTTCTTTCCCCACCAAGGGCTGTCCAGCTACTTCCCACACTGCGTTGCCTAGTGCATTTGTCTGGGAGCTGACCTTGTCCGTGAAAACAGAGGCAAAGAAAGCATTGAGTCCATCAGCTTTTCCCACATTATCTGTCGCTAGGTTACCTCCCTCATCCAGTAAGGGCCCCACAACCTCTCTGATCACCCTCTTATTGCTAACATGCCTGTAGAAACCTTTGTTACCCTTCACATCCCTTGCCAGCTGCAATTCCAGTTGCACTTTCGCCTTCCTGATAACTGCCCTGCATTCTCGAGCAATATATTTATACTCCTCCCTAGTCATCTGTCCACTTCTTGTAAGCTTCCTTTGTGTGTTTAAGCTCACCACGGATGTCCCCGGTAAGCCAATCTGGTCACCTACCATATTTGCTTTTCTTGCTGCGTATCGTGCATTTAAAGCCAGCATGCTGCCCCCGCGCAAGCTGTTAGAAAGGAACTTGTAGCTGGAATGTCACCCCGGATCACCCCATCGGAGAAACAATCAAAATGTAAATCAACCCTCAAGAGCTCCTTTGGAATCTGCTGCTGATCTAATCCACCCGGCAATAATGCCTCACATGGGACAAATGGCTTCTTTGCCTCAGAGTGTATTTTTGGCATTGACCTCTCCAAGAGAATGTCACTTTGATGCCCCCGCCCCTCCACACACACTATCCAGTAACATGACAGTCCCTAGCCACTCTGATGACTTCTTGCAGTTTGATCCATTCAGGGAGAATGCCCTGTCAGTGCCCTGCTGCAGCCTCCATCTCTAGACCCCTGTGCAGATACACAAATTGCATCCATATCTGCAAAACTGAGCCGAGGATACCTGCACTGACATCCGTGGATGCGGATACCCATCGATACATAGCAGATATCCGTGGATTTGCAGGACTCTGTCTCCTCATGCCAAATGGCTCATTGCTTGAATGCTCTGACTTATTTACTGGTGACGAGCTCCCCTCTGTGTTATATGCAACAACTCACAGCAATGAAATAGTCAGTCGAGGCCAAAGGCTGCATTTAATGACACCCATGTCCAATTTCCATGGCTCATCAAGCTAACCTCATCCATCTAGTATGTTTCCTTAAAGCCACTGGGAAGCTACTTATGGTTCTAGGGACTGTACAGATACAAAACAATTAGGGATGTGAATGGTTAACTGGTAGACCTTGCTCTTAACAGGTGAGACTTGCCGGTTGCAGTTAATCAGTAGGGTTTGGAGCAGCTCCCTGCCTGCCATATGGGGAGGGGGGGCGGGGACACACAGCTCCAGCCCACCTGCCCCCTTTTAATCAATTAAGTGATTAAACAGGATTTTAGATCCCTAACAACATGAGGCAGCGCCTGTCCTGAGGAGCTGGCAAGCTGAGAGAACACGACGGAGAGGGGGAAGGAAATGAAGGGTGATTGTCCCCATCACAACTCAGTCGACCATTCCCCAGCGTGACTGGATCTGCAGATCTAATAGGAGCATCATCCTGTTTGTTTCAGTAAAATAAGTGGATGCAACCTGGAGACACGGAGGGAACAGATCACCTGAGAATGTTGGATTGGAGCCACACTTGGAACAACTGCAGTGTCAAAGTGTTTTCACACGCAGACTGCTCATTCTGCCAGCTGGACAGCAGAGACCTTCTCTTAGATTGTCAGGTCTTTGGGGGTTTTTTGGGAGTATTTTTGTTGTGTTTATACAGCACCTGGCAGAATGGGTCATGGGCTATGACTGGGGCTCCTAAGCGTGAATGCAATACAAACAATGAGTCTACATTTCCTGATCTGAGTGTAACAGTCACCCCCTACTTCTGAATCCACCTTTATTTGTAAACTGTTTCATTTAAATCATTGCTGTGGGGTGAGGCTGGGGAGGAGGGGTTCACTTTGCAGGGTGCTCTGGGGAGAGAGGACAACTCCAGCCCTCTCTCACCGCAGCAGCTTGGGGCCAGGTGAGAAGCGCCTCTCCATGGCTGCTGCAGCGAGCACAGATGGGGGAGAGGTGCATGTCCCCTGACTGGGGAAGGTCCAGGTTAGCCTGCCCTCTGCACTGCCCAACCAGAGTGAGGAATGCAGAGAACTATGCGCTTTCCTCTCACTCCCTGATGAAGGGGAACAGCCAGCAATGTTCCTGTATAAATTGGAGGAGGAGGGGGGACTTCAGCCCCCCCTCCCTTGTCCTCCCTAATGGTTGCCTGAAGTGCGGGAGGCTTGGGGGCATACTCCCAGACAGCCCCTTTTACCCGACTGGTGATTCAGTCTCTTTTCTGTAGGGTTTTATGAGTAGCAACCCCATTCCAGGCACATCCCATTGTCCTGGCACAACCAAACCCTGCACTTGCTTTAAGTTGTGATAAGAGGCGGCTGCAAACCGAATTTGGTGCTCCTTGCTCTTACTGTTTAGGAGAAGCTCTTGAACAAACCGACAGACAGACGGACAGAGACACAAACGCTCTCAAATGTATCGTAGATTACCCAGAGAGCATTTGTCTCTTCTCCCATATACCATGGAGCGAAGGCCGAGTAATACAGGTTGCTGTACAAAGAGGCCCTCTGCATTTGTCTAATAAAAACTACAGCCCCAAAGAAGCTGGGAAATTTCCATAGTAAGGCTTCACCTAAAAGAAAAATTGTGCCTGTTTTCAATCTCTTCAGTTAAACCTGTGCAAGCCGCTGTCTGGCCACAATGAAATGGGTTTACATTTACCGCATTAAGCTAAAGTCAAGATAAGCCAATTGTAAAATAATTCAAGTGCATCTACTCAGGACGGCGCACCTGAGTTTTACTGGAGAGTTAACAAACCTCTTAAATCAGTGCAACCTATGTATGTAGACAAGGCCTAGGTGTCCACCTTACAATCACACAAGGCTCTTCCAAGCAGCTTCCCCCACTGGTATGACAGAGACATGGATCCAAGCAGCAGCTCCACCCACGAGATGGAAAGAAATCCACAAGAGAGAAAAGTGCAGAAGCTTCCCCTCAAACCCAGATGCAAGGCCAAGAGACAGGCGCATCCCAGTTGCCTGCCACCTCTCAATTACCATAGAACCTCGAAGATGACAAGCCTTCAGCTCTTGCTCTGGTCGTTCCCACAGAGCTTGATGGGTTACTGATTAATTAGTGGAAAACACGACGGAACTTCTGCTTAATGCCTCTTAATTAGAGGAGCTGATGGGATTGCTTAACGGCCCTGCTGCTGAAGATGCACGGGCTCCGCTGTGCTGTATTTTGTCAGCCTGCTAAACACCATTTTCATTTCTAACTTCCCCGCTGCAGAGAGGTTGGCAGAATCAACTCGAAATCATGCACTGCCATTTCTGCCAGCTATGACTCAATCCATGCCCTGCACCTTCCTCAACAGAAGCCCTCGCTTCCCCGCAGTCTCTTCCTACTGCACGATGCCTACAGGAGTGACAGCCACAGCCCACCTCGCTGGCTAAATGCAGCCCGTGCAGAGTTCTGCACCATGGCACCATGTTGCCCTCGTCTTCCACATGGAAATAGAACCCACCAGGCCATGCATCCCAGCATGCAATGCTGCATCGTGACATGAGTGGCCTGCAGCCGGAAGCATGCTGGAGCATTGCATGGGCAAATCAAGAAGGAGCAGAGCTTGCTGGGACCTGGAGTCCATTTGTGCCTCTACATATGGAAGAGGACACGGAACAGTCCCCTCTCCCCCAGCAAAGAGAAAGGTTCAGTGGGCTTTCATGACTTTCTTTAGCCTTCTTCCCCCTGAATGCGCAAGTAGAGGAGAGCCCAGCAGTACAAACCTTTGCAGTTGGGCCTGTTTGTTGCCTGCTGAGGGATGGTTGGCCAGAGCTGCCTCCTTCTCCGACGTAGATGGGTGTTTCGGATGTGGCACTTCCCCTCTGGGAGCGTGGTTTTCCTCACTGGTTCTCCCCGGAATGCTCCCCACCACTTTGTCAGCCTGCAGAGAGAGTGAAGAACGGTACAATCTACCCGGCCTCTTGGACTCACTGCCCCTCACGTTTGGATCACATCTTTCAGCAGGGAACATTCGGATAGGAATTGCTCTGCGGGGGGAATGCATTCGCTGCCAGCCATGCTACCATTTTCCGAGTTAAAAAAAAAAGAAAAAAAAACTTCTGTTGGGTGGGCTAAGTGATCTGTGATTGCCTGTCCTCAGCAAGCCAGTGTCCATGGAACAAAAGGGTCCTTAACATAAGGGCATAGTAATTACCATGTAACTACAATGCAGTTAGAGTGGTTATAGTGTTGTTTGGTTTGCCAGGGTGTAATTAACACGTACTCATCTTCACAACGTCTGTAGAGACATGCCTGTGATATTAACAACCCCATTTTACAATGGAAGAACCGAGGCATCAGGTGGCTTGTCCAAGGTCACACAGGGAGTCTGTGGCAGAGTAGGGAGTTGAACCTTTCTTCTGCATCCCAGGTACCCCAGTCACTGAACTATCCTGCTGAGTATGTACAAAATGTCCTTACTCAAAGGCTGAGGACAAGAGTGTTTCTGGACCAGGCCAGCATGTAAATCCACATGGGATTTGGAAGATAATATAGTTGGGGGGGTGGTCCCCAAACCAAAGACTGCATAAAAGACGACTATAGTGATGCAGAGAAATAGGCACTGACCGATCAGGGACCAGCATGGCAAACATCTGAGGTTTCGGGTGTCTTTCCCCCACCCGCGCTCTAGAATTAATTCTCCCGCTCTCCGATCTTCCCGCATTCACCGATGCCCAGCTCCATTTCTCGTATCCCTACACCTGGCCAAGGAAACATGTTCGGTTTATCTGCCAGACACAGAGACCCTTCAGCTGGGGGTTCCTGGCTGTGCTGCAGACTCGCTGTGTGGACCTAGGCAAGTCACTAACCAGCGGGAGTCAGCGGGAGCGGTGAGTGCTCAGACCTCTGGAACAAAGGTCCTTGAAATGTCTGCAGCAGCTGGAACACAGGGATGACAACACGCCCCCCACCTTAGGGGAGGACCCCCCCCTTGGGCAGATAAATTCGTGACAGCCCCAAAGAGCGCCAATGGCATGCTGAAGAGCACCACAGAAAAAGCCGTAAATAACTAGAATAAATATGGATGAGCAGCACTATAAAGGAAGCAGAGGACCGGGCTGGTCATCCCCTTATTCTCTGTTCCTTGGCTGACAGTGGAGTCAGTTCTACTCAGCCTGTAGTTAATTTTATGGCCCTGATCCAAAAGCCATTGGAGCAAATGAACAGGCTCCCCCTGCTCTGCGGAGGAGACCCCAGGTCCAGCTCTGGGCTGTAGCTAGATGGTAAAGAGGGTAGAAGGGACGAGGGTCGATGAAGACACCCAGGGTGAGTTATTTGCCAAACAAGCATCCTCCAAGGAGCAGGAATCCCTGCAGCTATGGGAGTGCAGGCTCCAGCCCTCTCTGAACCACAGTCTAGCAGTTTACAAAGGGAGCAAACCAAAGTCTAGCGAGAACTGGGGAAAGGAACAGCGGAAACCGTCCGAACACTTCGTTACAAAGTGCCTGGCTACGCCTCAGGCCAGCAGTCAGCACTCTCCTCCCAGAGGACGTCCAGGGATGAGGAAACGCAAACGTCTCCCAAGGATTGTTCCCTGCAGACCAGCCAGAGAGTCACCTTTTCCCTTCGCTCAGAGGGAAGAAATCGCCAAATGAAAATGAAAGCTGGAAACCGAAAGCTGGCAGACGCCGGGGGGAGGAAGAGAGGCATCTCTCCTCACCAGCCACAATAAAAACACCCTGCTGGCTCACAACAAACCTAGGGGCAACTCTCGCTGCAGGCTGGCACGCTCAATCCTGCCCCAGCATTCCAGGGACTGGACAGGGAGGGGAGGGACGCTCAATCCTGCCCCAGCATTCCAGGGACTGAACGGGGAGGGGGAGGAAGAGGAGATGCACGTTAATACTGATGGAAATGGTCAGATTCTAATGCAACCCTGCTCAGAATTCAAGATCTGCCACGCTCCATGGCAGGGACACCCCCGGACGTTTGTCAATGGGAGCGCACTCGTCCCCGCAGTAGGGCTGGGCCTGGCTCCCCACACTCGTTGCCATGACCCAGTACGCAAGATCACAGTGCCACCGATTTCACTCACCACAATTTGACCCGACGTGTCATAACGAGGGCACGGCAGGGCTGAGGCACTGCAGGACGGGTCACAGTGCCACTCAGTTTAGGGGCCCCCTCAAACGAGAGCCTGGGACAAACTCCTCCTCCCCGGGCATCCACGCCCCCGCCGAGGGTGTACAGCGTGCGGAACGCGCCTACAGCTGCAGGCACCTCTGCGTCATTGCAGCCTGCAGGGAACCGACTCATTTTTATCGGCTATATATTTGAGAGAGTCTGTTGGTCTGTGTGTTCAAAAACTCCTCCTAAACAGCAAGGGCTAGGCCACCAAATTCGGTTTGCAGCTTCCTTTTACCACAACTTAAAGCAAGGGCAGGGTTTGGTTGGGCCAGGACAATGGGATGTGCCTGGAATGGGATTGCTTCTCAGAAGACCCTACAGAAAAGAGACAGAATCACCAGGCAGGTGGAAGGGGCTGGCTGGGGTCGCCCTCTCCTATCTTGGGGGGGGGGGGGGGGGGGGGGGGGGGCAATCCCCCCCTCCCCAATTCATACAGGGACATTGCTGGCTGCTCCCCTCAGTCAGGGAGCGAAGGGAAAGTGCAGTTTTATACATTCCTCACTCTGGCTTGGGAGCGCAGGGGGCAGCCGAGGGACATGCACCCCTCCCCTGGCTGTTCTTGCTGGAGCTGCAGTGGCCATGGAGAGGTGCTTCTCACCTGGCCCCAAGTTGCCACAGGCAGAGAGAGCTGGGGTTGCCTTCTCTCCCCAGTGAAGCCTGCATGCTGAACCCCTCCTCCCCAGCACAATGATTTCAGTGAAGCCTGGACATTTTCATTTTATTTTCCAAAAACAAAAACGAATGGAGCTAAGGACCCGAGTAACGCCGCCGTGTATACCAGCTAGCACTAAATAAAAACGCCTACTTTCCAGGACAGGGAGCTGGTTTCCAGGCACACTGGTTTCACTTCCAAATGTTAAAAAAGGCTGCTGGACTCAGACAGATGCTGTGGGTCTCTCGGAGTCCCTGGCTCCCGGCCTGACAGCCTGGGCTGTCTAGTGTCACTAGCTCCCCCTTCGTCCCAGCCTGGATTACACAGCTGACTGCACTCCACTTACCGTGTTCCCATTCTGCACGCTGTTCACTGTCCGTGCGAATCGGATCACAGCGCCGTTCCCGTGCCCCTGCGGCCAGGCAGGCAGGGCTACTGGAGGTGGGTTACCTTCTTGCAGCGGGGCCGGATGGACAAACAGGACATCGCCCTGGGATCTGGGGCCATCGCTGTTATGTGAGGTCTGGCCGTGAGGCAAAGTCTCTTCTCCCTGGCTCCTGACCCCAGAGATCTGTGGCCTCATTAGGCTCCCACCAGGGGGCTTCTCCTGAGCCAAAGGGCTCAGAGGCATTTTGGCTGCAGACGCCTGGCAGGAGGAGAGAGGACAGTGCTGTATTCCTTGTGGAGAGTGGAACAGGGGCAGGGGGGCGAGAATTAACCCCAGGGACTCGCCCACCCCGCCAAGCAGCATTCCTTTGCCCAGAATGCCCCTGGTTTGAACCCAGAAAGGCCCAATGCCGGGGTACTTTACCTTCTGCCTAGAAAACGATAAACGGTTGCCGCCGGGAGCTGGGGGCTGTTCCTTCAATGCCTGGAGCTGCTGCTGTCCCTTCACAGGGCCCACGTCCTTGAAACTTGGCATCTTCTGCAAAGCTTCCTTGAGCTGCCTGAACTCCTCCATCTGGGTCTGGGGCAATGAGAAGGACAAACCAACACTCAGGTGACACAGGGTTAATATTTCCCTGCTGGGAAAAACCATTACTACAGAGGCCTGCTCCTCTTCCCCCCTGCCC